TTGAGGAGAGTAGACTATTCTGAGGCCCACTTGGTTAGAGGGGGCATATTTGAAGCCATCTTGGCCTGAAGGGGAGGTTCTTAGGCCCTCTTGCATACAGGTGGAGTGTATGAGGCTCCTTTGGTTAGTTGTGTCAGGTCTGAGACCCTACTAAGTAGAAGGAGTGGGTCACAGGCTCCCTTGCTCAGACTGGTTAGATTTCTTGGTTCATGATCCTTGGTGGCATGTCTAATGCCTTGTTGGCGGAAGTCAAAGATCTGAATTCCGCCAGTTCTGAAAGGATAGGTATGAGGCCTCTTTGGTTTATTGAGGAAGGTCTGAGGCCCCCTTGGGTAGACATAGGTCTCGATTCTCCATTGTCCGTAAGTGGAAGACCTAAAGCCTTCCTTGGTCAGATGGAGCATGTTTGAGGTCCCTTTGGTAACAATGGAAAAATGTCTGAGGACTTTGGGGTAGAAGGAGAAGATCTGAAGCTCCCTTCATAAGAGAGAATAGGTCACAGACTCTCTCTCTTGAATAGGACCCTTGCAAGTCCCCACTGGACAGAGTGGGAAGATCTTAGGCCCTCTTAGGCAGAAGAGAATGGTCTGAGGCCCCCTTGGGCAGAAGTTGAAGGTCTGCTCCAAGCTTGATCAGAGGAGAAATTTCTGAATGTGATCCTTTGGTCACAAAGAGCATGCCTGAGGCCTAGTTTGTTAGAACTACAATACTCCGAGGTCCTCATTGTTAATAAGAGATTGCCGGCCACTCTCTTGGGCAGAATGGGAAGTCCCAAGACCCTCTTTTGCTAAATGGAATGTTTGAAGCTCCTTGGGCAGAATGAGAACGTCTCAAGCACCATTTGGTAGAAGAGGGATGAGCGACTAAGACCTCTTTGGACAGATGTGGCAGGTGTAAGGCTCCCTTGAGTAGTGGTAGATCTTAGGCCTTATCCTCATGCCTCATTTGGCAGAAGCAAACGGAAGGTTTGAAGCCCTCTTGTACAAAGGAGTCATGTTTCAATCTCCTTTGGATATTAAAATAGAATGCCTGGGGCCCACTTGGGGAGAGGAGAAATGTCTGAAGACATATGCATGAGAAGAGATATGTCTGAAGCCCTGTTGTGCAGATGTGAATGGTCCTGGAGCCCCTTGAGCAGATGTAGCAGGTTTCAGAGTTCCTTAGGCAGATATGGAATGTTTCAGGGACCCTTGGGCAGACGTGAAAAGTATATGACTTCCTTGGGAAGTAGTGGTAGGGTCTTCAGTTCTTTTTTGTAAGAAGGAAAGATATAAGCTCCCCCCTTTGGCAGAACAGGCAGATTTGAAGCCCTCTTGATCTCATGTCAAAGTTCTGAAGCTACTTTTGTCATAGGGAGCATGTTTCATGTTCTTTTTGATAGAAATAAAATAGTTAACTCCCTCTTGAGTAGAGGGTGAATGTCTTAGCCCCCTTCACGAGAGGTGATTGATCTGAAGCACATTTATGCAGAGTTGGATGATCACAGGTGACCTATTGGACAGATAGGGAAGGTTCCACAGGCATTTGAGCATATGAAAAAAGTCATGGAGCCCTTTGAATATATGTGGGAGTTTCGAGAGCCCTTTAAGCAGATGGGGAAGGTGCTTGAGCCCTTCTGTATATGTGGAAGTTCCTAAAGACTGTTGGGCAGATGAGAAAAGTACTAAATCCCCTTGTATAGATGTGATCAGTCCCAGAGATCCTTGGGCTATAGGGTTGGTCACAGTGCCCCCCTTGGGCAGATATCCTAGAGCCCCTTTAATAACCCAGTCTGCAAAATCACAACTTATTTGGCACATGACTTTGTCATAACATTAAGCACCTTAGTGTTCTTTTCTTCTCTACACTGTACATTTTTTGCTCCATTTATTGCTTTTTTGTTGTAGCTCTGCCAAGAATAATCAATAGTAACCATGCCATGGACCTCATGTTATATGAAATTTCCTCTGCCAAATAAGTTCACTACCTTTTAATTTAACCCAAGGCAAGTTCTTCGGATACTGGAAGAATTTGGCCATACTGTTTGCCAAAATATCACGTAAATAACTTCTATCCCAGTTGCTAGTACAGTTTTTGCTCCCCTGTGAAACTTCAGAAGGTGGGCCTCCATTATCACATTATTCTCAACACTACTATCTTTCAGAATCCTACTAGAATAGCTTGTTAAGCTCTGCTTACAACATTTAACTGTTTTTCAAATCCAACGTTCTAAAGTCTTTCACATTTCTCCAAAAACAACATGGTTAGGTTCTTCAAAGAAACAACCCACCTGTGGTACCATCTTCATCATTAGTTATGTCTCTGTTGCTGTGATAAAATACCATGACCACAAACAACTTATAGAAGAATTTATTTGGGCTTATGATTCCAAAGGGAGAGTCCATAATGGTAGAGAAGGCAGGGCAGCAAGCAGGGAGAACAGGAAGCTCGCGCTGATCACATTTTTATACACACACACACACACACACACACACACACACACACACACACACAGGAAACAGAGGGAGGGAGCAGAAATAGGACAAGGCTGTAAACTGTCGAAGCCTGCCCTCAATGATGTACTTCTTCCAGCAAGGCTCTACCTGCTAGATGTTTCACAACCTCCCTAAACAAGGCTACATCTGTCGACTCTTTGTTCAAATACATGAGCCTATAGAGGATAGTTCTCATTCAAACCACCATAGTCTTTTTCTGGAGAATGCCAACTAATCTGGGCACAAAGTATTAAAAAACTACCGTGTTGAGACACTAATATGATAAAGTGAAGACTAGAGATAGAAAAAATAACCATTAAAGACTAAAAACTTGATTGACTTGTTAGAACTTATTTCCATGATTGTGGAGAGTTAGGATGTTAGATGTCCGGAGCCAGATCATTTTGGGCAATGTCCAGCTCCCTTAATAGCTATTCATCACTCACCTCTGTTTGATCTAATATTATTCTTTGGAATGTACAAAGAGACTACTAGCTTTTACCAACCCAAAGGCTAAAATAATATAGGAGGCCTATAGTAGAGGTTTTTTTAAATTTTGCTTTAAATCAGCTACTTGATATTCTCAGTCATGTTTTGTTTTGTTTCAAAAAAGTGCCATGATCTATTACTTTCTTTTGTTGTGTAGTGATAAAAACTTTGGGATCATAGTATTTGAATCCATATTTTCAAGCTATGGTCACTCATATTTGGTTCCAGAATAAACTATCTCTTATACCTTTCAAAGTGAGAGCTGTGTTCTTGTGTCAATAATGCACAAATACGCTAAGTCATATTATCTACATATTATTATATGTAAAAGGTCACATCTCAAATGGAGGCAAGATAGAATGATATGGAATTGTGGTGACATTGTGCTCACTTAGGGTCAGATGACGAATACTCAGAGATACCTTAATAGAGTATGTCAGGACAGTAATTCAGCTGTGCTTACTTAGAGCTAAAATGATGTATAACCTTATGTTTATAACACTCTGCTGTTATAGACCTAAATGATGTCCCTCATAAATCCACCTTACACCTTTGTTTAGTGGGAAAAAAACTTTATCTTTTGACCTTGCTGCAAATTACACTCTTTGGGCAACGTTAGAAAATGGGGGCAGTTTCTTAGCAGCCTTTAGAGGTGTAAATTGAGAGCCACCCAACTCCCTATACACCAGTGGTTCTCAACCTTCCTAATGCTGTGACACTTTAATACAATTCCTTTTGGTGTGGTGATGCCCAGCCATAAAATTATTCCGCTGCTACTTCATAACTATAATTTTGTTACTGTATGAATCATAGTGTAAATATTTTCTGGAGGTAGAGGTTTGCCAAAGAGGTCACAACCCGGAGGTTGTGAACCACTACTATATGCTCATTGTTAAAAAAAAAAACAAAAAAAACAGAAAAAAGTAATTGACACTCCCTTTAGAACCCCACGTAATCCTATTGGGTGCACTCTCCCTTCTCTCTCATGGAGCACTTTCTTTCTGCTTTTAATAAATGCAAATTTGCTTCATATTTGATCCATCCTTCACAGGTTTAAGGCCACTCTGTGTGGCATAGTAAGATCCAGTCTCCAAACAAACAAAATCAAAAGGAGGGTAAGGAAGGAATAAAGGAAAGGAATGATATGATAGAGACAATGTTGTAGAGGAGGACCTTAACACTTTCAAAATGCGTATTGCAACTTCTCCTGCTGCAGGCAGGGCTTGGAGCTGCCCTCTATCCATCCTCCTTGTAACAAGACCCACAGGTTGCCAAGAATGTTGAGCAAGGTAAAGTGTATTTGCAAGCAGAGGTGTTTCACCAAGCACTTTATGTGGAGAGCGTGCTCACAAAGCTATTAGGCATACTACTGTGTGAATGATGCACTGTGGAGCTAGTCTAGGTCTCCAAGGAAAAACAGGCCCTTGAAGAGAGGGAGGGGATTATCCCCACCAAGATAAAGAGGTGAGCAGCATCATGGTTACCATGAGGAAAGAAGCCACTGCTGACTGAGCCCTGCACTACCTCTGCATAATAAAAGCATTGGAGAACAAAAGTGTCGAGTGCATAGATAGACTATACATTGCCAGGAATATGCTACCAAACAATCCAAGATTGAAGTTTGGGGCTTGATAACAAAGGATAATGTTAAGCCTTTAAAGATATGATATGCTCAGGCAAGGAATGCCCATTTTTAGAGAATAATATTGTAATATATGGGAATGAAAGGATGTGATACACAGAATTTAAAACACTTTGGAAAAAAATAAACATGGCTTAAATGGGCTGAAGAAAGGAGGAAATCTGTAAACTGATAGTTGCTGAGTCTTGTAACATATAGGTGAGATTTGGAAAACATCACAAAGGCAATATTAACATGACAGGGACACAGGCCTGCTTTTGGTTTTCCCTTGGATTCAGAGGGTGATGTGAGAGAATAATGAACTCTAACATACATTTTTATATATAGTGTGTTTATTTATTATTTACCTTTGCCAACAACAGTCAAAACTCAGATCTCACAAAATCATTGAGTGAACATTATTTTATTTAGCAAAAGCCCATAATCCAACCAATGAAATAATGAAACAAGACAGAAAAATAGAAGGCTAACTTGGCCATTTTCTGTCATGGAGTCTTTGGGTCCTTGGAAAATTTATGTAAATGTCGTAAGAATACTTGCTATAACTTGATATAACATGGCTGGTTGATATCCATGGGAGGCCTGTCCTTTTCTGAAGAGAAACTGAGGAAGAGGAGTGGATGGGAGGGGCAAGACAGGAGGTTGGGTGGGAGAGACTGGGAGGAGAGGTGGGAGGGGGAAGAGGAGAGGTGCAGGGAGAGACTGGGAGGAGAAGAGGGAGGGGAAACTGTGGTTGGGATATACAAACAAAAAACAAACAAACAAACATTAAAGAATCCTTGCTATAATCCCTGGAAATCGGAAGGTGATGTAAGCTGTAAAAGTATTTTCAAACCTCAGGATACACTTGGTTTTCCACAAGAGAGATGTATGAAAGAAAAATAATGCCACTGCCTAAAAACATGAGGGCAGCTAGACTTGCCACTACATTAGCAATTCCAATTCTCTGATTAGGTGGCTGTAAAGGCATACGGAAAGATTGTGGGAAGGCAATTGCTGCTTTGTGAATGACAGAGAAGTAATTGCATATGACAGCAAGGAGGACAAAGATACTGACAATGATGTTGAGAATGGCTGAAATGACGAATGGATTGTAGGCGACATTCTTCTGTATGTTCCCTGTGTACACATTTCGAAGAGCAAAAATGGTGGCCACTGTCCCAATTAACCCGAGAATGTTGGCGCCCAGTAACAAGTGTTGAATGATACGAATATCCAAAGGAACAAAGTCGTCATGGTAGGTGTATTCATGACACCCTCTGGCATTGCCAGGCTTGAAGTTTTGGTGGTAAATGCAGACTCTCCATATTCCTACAAAGGCTATGGTAGGCTCAGAGAACACGGTTTCATTCAAATACCAGACTCGCCACTGTGGGAGGCTTGTGGAGATGCTGCAAAGGATCCATGCTATGGAGGCCAAAGCAAATCCTCCAACTTGGCAGTTGGCACTTCTGCTGAGCAACAACATGGTGACAGCGAACACGGGACAACTACAAAGAAATACAGCACAGCATAAGGGTGGACCTTCCTTAGGCCTAGGACAGTGTTTCTTGGGGGGCTGCTACTAGGAGGGAAGAATCAGTTATGTTTGAGAAAGTGAGGATGTGCTATTATGAGTTTGGGCTGAGCAAACCCAGAGAAGGGCCATGTTTACTGACAGCTTGACAGTGCACACCCCCTCTGACAGTTCCACTTCTTCTTTTTTTTTTTTCAAGACAGGGTTTCTCTGTGTAGTTCTGGCTGTCCCAGAACTAGCTTTATAGGCCAAGCTGGTCTCGAGATCACAGAGATCCATCTGCCTCTGCCCGTTGAATGCTGGGATTAAAGGCATGCGCCATTACGCTTGGCATTCAGAGTTCCACTTCTGTGTGTCCAGACACACAATGACATTTGACCACAAATATTTACCCATAATGATGCTGATCAAAGCACTACTTGTTATAGTGGTGCTGTTCATGGGCAGCAGGGCTACATAATGGGCTCCTGTCTCTACAAAACCAATGTACCTATCAATAAATGAATAAACAAATGAATAGTAAGTAAATTAATAATTTTAAACATAATAGATGATTACGTGATTCTGGAAAATATATATAGTTCTCTGCTGTATATTACCTGAAGCAAACTTCTTCACTTATCACATGTCAAACAGAGGACCATTGAGAACCAAGGTAATAATCTAAAATGGAGAGAAAATAGTAAGTACATACTATAGTATGATTATAATTATTTATTTATTTTGTCTATCATGAAACCTGTTGGGAAGATACAAAATAAGATGTATCTGAATGCTATGATTACTGGTGAACCTGCCCCCCCAACACACACACACACACACACACACACACACATACACACACACACACACACTCTTTTAGGTTCAAAATCTATGACATTTTTGTTGCTGTTTGCCTGGTGCTTTTGTTTTGAGGGGGAGAGGGTCTGACTAGTATGGTGGACTGACTAGCATTATCTCACACTTACCATTTGCCCCAGGTTGGTTTCACACTCAAGGAAGGCAGTTTGCATGCCTCAAACTCCTGATTGTGCCACCATACCTGGCCCGTGTGAGTTTTTTTTTTTTTTTAATTATTGCTTTTGTTTGTTGTTGCTTCCTTTTTTAAAGATTTCTTGATTTAATATGCATTGATTTTTTTTTTTGCCTGTACGTATGTCTATGTGAGCATATTGGATCCCCTGGAACTGGAGTTCCAGACAGTAGTACGGTGCCATGCTGGTGATGGGAATTGAACCTGGATCCTTTGGAAGAGCAGCCAGTGCTCTTACAGCTGAGCCATCTTTCCAGCCCTCATCTTTTTTATTTAAAATTTTAAAAATATTTTTAAGACTATCATATATGAATACTATATTTACATAATTTATACTTCTCCTTCTTCTCTCTCCAAACCCTTCCATGTGACCTCATCCCTTTCAAATTTATGACTAAAATGCTAGTAGAACTTAATGATTTGTGCCTGCTAGGCAAATGCTCTATCACTGATCTGTACCCCTTACCCTCAAATGTGTTTTGTGGAGTTCAAGAAAAAAAGAAAAAGAAATACCATATGGGGCATGAGGGAGGGAATGTTGAAGGCTGTTTCTGTAAATTTCTTGTAATGGCTAGAGCAAGTCTCACAGCAACATATCAATAAACATCATTCTCATTAACTGGGATTCTAAATCAATCGTTATTGAAGATTGAAGCTAGGGAATTATGCAAACGAGGCCAGCCCTCTACCACTAAATCATATTCCCAACCTGTTTTAAATTTTTATTTTGAGATAGAGTCTTGAAAGGTACCCAGGCTGGGTCTAGATTATTCTATGTGGTTCAGGAAATTGTCTTTGCTGTTGTTTGTCTGATTCAACATATGACCTAATTATATAAACCATTGTGCTGGCCGATTTTATGTCAACTTGACACAAGCTAGAGTCATCAGAGAGGAGGAACCTCAGTTGAGAAAATGCCTCCATAAGAGCTGGCTGTAAGGCATTTTCTTAATTAGTGGTCAGTGGCGGAGGGCCCAGCCCATTGTGGGTGGTGCCATCCCTGGGCTGCTGGTTCTGGGTCCTATAAGAAGGCAGACTTTGGAAATCATGTGAAGCAAGCCAGTAAACAACAACCCTCCATGGCCTCTGCATCAACTCCTGACTCCAGGTTCCTGCCCTGTTTGAGTTCCTGTCCTGACTTTCTTCAGTGATGAACAGCAATGCTGAAGTGTAAGCTGAATAAACCCTTTCCTCCCAACTTGCATTTTTTTTTTTGCTTTACAACCTTGCCAGAATGTTTTTATTTTTGTTTTTCTTGGATATTTTTTTTAAATTTTATAATTAATTTTACATATCAGCCACAGATTACCCTGTCCTACCTCCTCCCACCCCCCACGCCCTCCTCCCAATCCAACCCCCATTCCCACCTCCTCCAACGCAAGGACTCCCCTGGGGATTCAGCTCAGCCTGGTAGATTCAGTTGAGGCAGGTCCAGTCCCCTCCTCCCTTCACCTAGGCTAAGCAAAGTGTCCCAGCATAGGCCCTAGGTTCCAAAAATCCAGCTCATGCACTAAGGACAGCTCCTGGTCCTACTTCCTGGGGACCTCCTAAATAGTTCAAACTAATTGACTGTCTCACTTATCCAGAGGGCCTGATCCAGTTCCATAGGGGCTCCTCAACTGTTGGTTCATAGTTCATGTGTTTCCACTAGATATCACCTTACACCCATCAGAGTGGCTAAGATCAAAATCACTGAAGACAGCTTATGCTGGAGAGGATGTGGAGCAAGGGGAACACTCTTACACTGTTGGTGGGAATGCAAACTTGTACAGCCACTTTGGAAATCAATATGGTGCTTTCTTAGAAAATTGGGAATCAATCTCCCTCAAGACCCAGCTATACCACTCTTGGGCATATACCCAAGGAATGCTCAATCATACCACAAGGACACTTGCTCAGCTATGTTCATAGCAGCATTGTTTGTAATAGCCAGAACCTGGAAACAACCTAGATGCCCTTCAACTGAAGAATGGATAAAGAAAATGTGGTACATATACACAATGGAGTACTACTCAGCAGAGAAAAACAATGACATCATGAGGTTTGCAGGCAAATGGAAGGAATATAGAAAAAAATCATCCTGAGTGAGGTAACCCAGACTCAGAAAGACAAACATGGTATGTACTCACTCATAGGTGGATACTAGATGTAAAGCAAAGGATAACTAGACTGCTACTCACAACTCCAGGGAGGCTACCTAGTAAAGAGGACCCTAAGAAAGACACTGGGTTTGCCCAACGACAGAGAAATGGATGAGATCTACATGAGCAAACTGGACATGGGGCGGGGGTGGGTAATGAAGGGCAAGGGGCAGGGGGAAAAGAGAACTTAGGGGAGCAGAAGATCCCAGCTGGATGAAGAACAGAGAGGGAGAACAAGGAAAGAAACACCATGATAAAAGACACCATGGGAATAGGAAGAGGCAAAGTGCTCGAGAGGTCCCCAGAAATCCACAAAGATACCTTCACAATAGACTACTGGCAATGGTCGAGAGAAAGCCCAAACTGACCTACTCTGGTGATCAGATGGCCAAGTATCCTAACTGTCATTATAGAACTCTCATCCAGTGACTGGTGGAAACAGATGCAGAGATCCATGGCCAAGCCCCAGGTGGAGCTACAGGAGTCCAATCGGCGAGAGAGAGGAAGGATTATATGAGCAAGAGATATTGAGACCATGATTGGAAAAAAAGCACAGGGACAAATAGCCAACTTGCTTTTTGATCATGGTGTTTTGTCACAGCAATAGTAACCCTAACCAAGACAACAATGCTGGTTTCAAACTTACTACATAGCTCAGAGTGGACTTGAACTGGTTTCCTTTTACCTGTTAGAAAGGTAATATTGTGCTCAACTGACATCAGCACAGATTCAACAAACAGGCTGTGCATTCCAGGCCTGGTCTCCTTGCTCCAAACTTCAAAGTAATCAAATATTCTAAGGACCTTGGGTCCAGTCAGATGGGAAAGAATAGTGAGAGAATGCAGGCAATCACAGTGGAGTAGTAGGAGGCCATGGATGACACTTGAGACCAGAAGAACCAGGAGGGCTGCTTAGAACAGGGTATCAAAAACAATATCACAAAAATCATGAAATTCAGGGAGGTTTTAACGTATTTAACAAACTCTTTCCAGAAAGAAGCCTATCCCAAGTGATAAAGATGTCCAAGTTGCACAGGTATCCTGATTTTAGGGCAGAGAATCTAGGGGACAGGATACTGGGGCAGAGAAACCAGCCATGAGGCTGATCTAATCACCAAGCTGCGAACTTGTACCTTTCCCACCATGGTAATTTTGAAAAATAAATATTAAGTTGAAATGTCGCAGCTCCAAGTCTCTGTGTGACCAAATACCCGAGAGAACAAACTAAATGGATGAATTAGTACGTTTGGCTTGGTTTCAGGAGTCTGTAGTCCTTGGCTGTGTCGAATCAAGTGTATGGTTAGGCAGGAAATCACTGTGGTAAGAGACCAGGAAACAGAGGCTACTCACCTCATGATGACAAGAAATAAAAAGAGGCGGACCAGGATGAAGTAAAGCCTTCAAAGGCACCCTCCCTGGTATCTACTTGCTTCAGCTATGACCCAACTCTTAAGTGTCCAGAACCTTCTGCTAAAACACTACTTGCTAGGGACCATGGGACACATGAGCTTTTTGCCTGGACAGATCATATCCAAATTATAATCCTATCAGAGAAGGTTAAATGCTCTGTGATTCCAGTAAGGGGGTCCCCGGGGCAGTCAGCTCTGGATGTAGATAGCACCGTGGTGGCGGCTAGGGGCCAGGGCAATGAGAAGGGAGAGATAACCTTTAATGAGGACAACATTTCAGTTGGTGGAGATGGACAGTGGTGTCCTTTCCACACTGTGAACCACAGAACTCTACAACTAAAATAGTGAGTAGTGAGTTCGGATATGAATATTTAACCCTATTATGTTACTCAGAGTATACATCAAAGATGGATAGAGCCTCTTCTAACCTGCAGTACTATATTCAAGTGAATTGGTGATCAGCAACGTGGCAGAGGTGTGCCAGCTGGGCCAACGAGAACACAGCTCCCCTCACGTGTCCTTCCAGGCTCGTGGCTGGCTTCACACTCACCCAAGAGCTCTTGGCACACTGCTGGAGGCTTCGGACTTCGGAGACCTTTATTGTGTCATCAGATTCTCTTAATGACCTCATCTTTCTGGTTTCCACCATTAATGTAAGAGTGCAGTGCTAACCATGCAAGGCTTTCGGTTTTCTTTTGTCAAGTACTTTTTCATGTAGCCTTTGTGGGATGGGGTGTGTCTACCAGTGTGCCTCCCTGCTCGGGGTCAAGACCCACTCTGCTAATTCACAGTCTGATGTTCCTCACTTTGAGACCTACTTTCTAACCCTGTCATTACAGATAGTGATATTTTAGAAGAGTTATTGCCTTGTATAGATAGAGACAGATGGTAGCAGAGGTGGCATCAACACACTAAGAAAGGTCCTAGTTAATTCATCAGAAGGGGCCCGGCATGGTAACTCATGCCTTTAATCCCTGCACTCGGGAGGCAGAGGCAGGTGGATCTCTGTGAGTTCCAGGTCAGGCTGGGCTACAGAGTGAGAGGCAGGTGGATCTCTGTGAGTTCCAGGTCAGCCTGGGCTACAGAGTGAGTTCAAAGATAGCCAGGGCAGTTAACACAGACAAACCCTGTCCAAAAAAAAAAAAAAAAAAAACCCACACACGGTTGCCCGCACCTCTAATTCTAGCACTTGGGAGACTGGAGGAGGAAGATCAGAAGTTCAAGGTCATCCTTGACTACTAAATAAGTTTTCAGTAGACTTGGCTACATGAAACCCTGACTCAAAAGGAAAAAAAAATTGTAACATTCAGTATTGTTACAGACATTGAAAAACTGCACCTCG